GGAAGACCTCTCTTTCTCCTTCTGTCTCTACCCCTTTCTGTAATAAATAAAACAAAATGTGCCAGGGGATTCCAATTCAATCCCATCAAGATGGCATATACCAATGCCATCTCACTAGTCAAAGTGATCAGTTTCAGTTCACAATTGATTATAATGATAGGATTAAGAGTCAAAGGGATCACATAAACAAGACTACTGTCTGCTAACACTAACTGATAGAATTAAAAAGGAGAGAATGATCCAACATGGGAAGCAGGATACACAGCAGACTCATAGAATGGCAGATGTCCTAAACAGCACTCTGGCCTCAGAATCAGTCCTTAAACCATGCAGATCTGGCTAAAAAGCCATGAGAGTATTTTAGGCATGGAAAGCCAAGACACTCTGGCAAAAAAAAAAAAAAAAAAAAAAAAAAACAACACAACAACAACAACAACTAAATGAAAGATCTCTATGAGTGAGATCCCAATGGAAAATATGGGCCATCGAAGAAGGAGGTACCTTTCTCTGAAGGGAGGAGAGAACTTCCACTTTGACTATGACCTTGTCTAAATAAGATCAGAGTTGGCGAACTCAAAAGGTTTCCATAGCCTTGGCAACTCATGAAAAGAGCCTAGGGTGATTACTGACGCCATAAACAAGAGTGTCAATTGTTAATTCAACAACAGACAACAGGACTCACTGTGCACTTACTCTCCATGTAGGATCTCTGTCTTTAATGTGTTGTACAACGTGAATTAATGCTAGAACTAGTACTCAAACAGTATTTTACACTTTGTGTGTCTGTGTGAGTACATACTGTTGAAATCTTTACTCAATATATACTAAATTGATCTTCTGTATATAAAGATAATTGAAAATGAATCTTGATGTGAATGGAAGGGGAGAGGGAACAGGAGAGGGGAGGTTTGTGGGTGGGAGGGAAGTTATGGCGGGGGAAAAGCCATTGTAATCCATAAGCTTACTTTGGAAATTTATATTCATTAAATAAAAGTTAAGAAAGATAATATACAACTAACTCATAAGCACAAGACAGGATAGGATGTTCAATATTCTCGGGCATCAGGATAAAGACGCAAATTTAATGAACAGTTCAGTACCACTTAAGACCCACTATAATACCTAAAATTCAAGACAGGCAAAACCAAGTGTTAGTGAGGATGTAAAATAACAGGAATTTGGACACTGCTAGTCTTATAATTGTATCTATGAACCTCATTGAATCTGTTTCCTTTGTATTAATATCATATTAATTCTGATTAATAACATGAGAATTGATAAAACTTTGTTATAGAAATTATCATGCATTTGCTGTGACCACAAGAATCTAATGTATTAATAATTTCTTTTAAATAATAAACAAATTTTTGCAAAGAAAAAATACTTCGGAAAGCAACCCAGTATTTTTTTTAATATTTGTTTTTTTATTTTGAAAGCCAGAGTTACATACATAGATAATATATATAATAATATATTATTATATATAATATATTATATTATATATTATGTATAGTATATTATGTAATATATTATATATATTAATATATAATAATATATACTATATATCATAATAAATAATATAATATATATATATATATATATGGTTTACTTCCCAAATGGGTTGGGCCAGCTGAAGCCAGGAGCCATAAGCTTCTTCTGAGTCTCCCACGTGTATGGCAGGGGCCTCATTTCAGTATTTTCTTAAAAAGTTTGGTGCAGTGGTTAAGATACTGCTTGGGATGCCTATAACCCCTATGTGTGTCAGGGTTTGAATCCTGGGTTTACTACTGGTTCTGGTTCCCTGATAATGTATATCTTGGGAAGCAGCAGGTTACAGCTCAAGTATTTGTGTCCCAGCCACCCACATGGGAGAGTCGGACTGAGGACCAGGCTCCTGGGTGTAGCCTGGCAAAGCCCTTGCAGTTGAGGGTATCTGAGGAGTGATAAAAGATCTCCTTCTGTTTACCTGTCTCTGTCTATTTCTGCCTTTCAAATAAATAAATATGTATTTTTTTAATTAAGCATATTTTTATCACAGAACCCAGCCTTCTACTTCTCTGTATTTCCCCATAAAAATATGTTTATATAAATATTTGTATGTGAATATTCATAATAACTTTATTCATAGTTGCCAAAAACTGGACAACCTCAAATTTCCATCAATGGCTAAATATACAAATTGTGAAATAGTGACATAAGGGAATGTCACTGGGTGAAAAACGAGCAAGCTTCTGACTTACACAACAAGGAGGATAAAAAACACAGGTATTTTTTCAAGTCATTGAAAGAAGATAAACATGAAAAAGTACAAATGGAATGATTTCATTCATTTGAAATTTTAGAATGGTAAAATACAAATCGTATCAATGGTTGTGATGAGGTGTGGTGAACTGATATTGAGTACAAAACAGCCTAACGTGGCCGGCGCCTTGGCTCGATAGGCTAATCCTCCTCCTTCGGCGCTGGCACACCGGGTTCTAGTCCTGCTCAGGGTGCCGGATTCTGTCCTGGTTGCCCCTCTTCCAGGCCAGCTCTCTGCTGTGGCCAGGGAGTGCAGTGGAGGATGGCCCAAGTGCTTGGGCCCTGCACCCCCAGCATGGGAGACCAGGATAAGCACCTGGCTCCTGGCTTCGGATCAGCGCGGTGTGCTGGCCACGGCGGCCATTGGAGGGTGAACCAACGGCAAAGGAAGACCTTTCTCTTTGTTTCTCTCACTGTCCACTCTGCTTGTCAAAAAAAAAAAAAAAAAAAAAAAAAAAAAAAAAACAGCTTAATGTGAACTTTCTGGATCTGATGCAATTCCAGCAATGAGAATGGTGCCTAACACAGTCTGGATACTGAAGAACTATTTGACAAATAAAAAAAGATAAGAGAGTAAATATATTTTAAGATAAAACTTTTGGATACCCTCCCTCCGATATTTGGATTTTGTCCAAGGCAGCAAACCATGGGTAGTGCTGAAGGGATCAACCTCATTTTCAAGTCCAGCATCTGTTAAAATGAAAATGTATCTTCACTCCATTCAATTTCCTTTCCTTTCTTACCTTTCCATCCTTGTTATAAAAGTTTGTAATGACTAAATAATTTTTGAATTTTCCATTTTTCATCCAAGTTCCTAGATCTGTATGCACTATTCAGTCTAAACCTAAAGGGACTAGAAAACCACCAAATCTTAACAAGTCCTCTGCCTTGTTCTCTAATCCTTTACAGATCTGTTGATACTCCATAGAACACATCCTTCTGCCTATAAGTCTAAATAATGATAAGGTAATCAGTTTCTAGCTTCAAATTTCTGAATTCTTCCTATGCTATCCTCAAAAGAATTTATCTTCCCCCATTTTATGTTATTCCCACACTGTAATTTGACACACTCTGTTCTGCTTGCTTACACTCTGCACTTCTCTTTTCATATACAAATGCATCTTCTAATATTCAATTCAAATCTTTCTTCATCCATTATCATTTCTCTTAATTTGTATGCAGATTATACACATTGATCTTACTGAAAATACTGAAGTATTTCTTATTCACAGTATCCATTTGGCATGTACTACTACCTTGTGTCATTTCTGCTGTTACCCTAGCTTGCCATTCTTTTTTTGTTGTACAAACTGACATATGTATTTGTAATTTATTTGGCCTGTAAGATGACACACTTTGTATAAGGATCATTTCTTAAATATCTCTACTCCATGAGCACATTGAAACCACAGTGTCTTAAATTAATTGGTTCATAAATCACTCATTTCAAAACTAACTATGGCATATAACTAATCATGGGCAATAAAATTTTAAGCCAAGGTCTTAAAATTCTATTTGAGATTTCTATTGGGCTGAAATAGATGAAAAAATCATAATGTAACTTATTCCAATTTTATCTTGTAGAACAAAATCTCCAGAGCAGAAATTTCCCAAAAGCAAGACTGATTTTTTTTCACAAATATGAAAAGTTCTCTATCAGAGAGATCTGAGAGGAATCCCTTAAAGATGAAATATATGCATTCCTTCAACTATTTTCAACTCATTCCACATAAAATAAAAATACTTTCAGAGATAATATTTAGATTCTCACTAAAAATTTTAATTCTGAATTTTGTACTCTCAAAACATTATTTTTTTTTCCATCTAAGGAACATATCCCAGTAAACTGCTAAGTTCTATTTAGCAATCATGGCACGAGTGCCTTAAGAAGGTTTATTTTGAAAATTCATGCATTTCTGAAATCATATAATAAATTTTATAAGACAATATTGCACATTAATAATATAGTATAATATTATACTCTTAATATCACATATACTTCAAGTGCTAACATGGATTCATGAAATTTATTTCTTAATAAAAATATTGACTGTGCAGTATTCCATAGTATGTATGTGTGTGTGTGTGTGTATATATATATAAAACTCAGCCATAAAAATGAATGAAATTCTGTCATTTGGTATAAGATGGATGCAATTGGAAATCATTATACTTAGGAAAATAAGCCAGACCCAAAAAGACAAATATCATATGTTTCCCCTAGCTTGTGGTAACTAATATACAGAGAACAAAAAATGCAATGTATATGAGTGAAATTGACATTTTAAGACTTGATTATATTTTACAGACCTTGTCTGCACTCTTGGGGAATAATGATTTTTTTACTTACTACTTGTTGAATTCTTTATTTAGTTAAGTTTGTAATTATAAAATAAACTGAAAGTATGTAGTTGTAAAAATTCGAAGGAAAAATAAGACAATAATGAGAAGGGAGGATGGGGCCATAGATGGGAGGGATGGTATGGTGAGAAGTGTCACTATTCTCTTAAATCTGTATATATGAAATTTGTTCACCTTATATAAATAGAAAATCCTTAAAAATTGAAGTTTAAAGAATTACATTTAAAATTCCAGAAGTAAACAATGCATAACTTTAAAAATAAAATACTGACACCAAAAGCAAATGATTACAAACACAGCTTATGTTGTTCAGTATGTGATTTACATTTAGTTCTCACCTTCAGTAGTTGTCATCTTACTTTCATGGATAACTTTAACAGTTTCATTTGGGGCACCAAATAAAACCAATCTCGCATTGTCTTTCAAAGGAAAAGGAAAAATACTTCAGTGAGAAATCAATATGAAATTTTAAAATGAGCAAGACAATATACAAAACGATGTTGAGAAAGTGCTCAACACTGAGGAAGCTAATGTGGTATAAATATTAAACAAACTCTACGATGATTATCTTTAGATGTTCTGTGTTCAAGTAACTCTCACAAGAAGGTATTCAGTAACATAATGCTACTGAAACAGAGTTATGTCATATAGAAAGTAGTCCAAGATACACAGCCACATGAAAAAGCAGCAAGGCACTACTCAGCCATAAAAACCAATGAAATCCTGTCTTTCACAACAAAATGTATACAATTGGAAACCATTATACTTAGTGCATTGTCAGTCCCCAAAAACAAATATCATGTTTTCCCTAATCTGTACTAACAGAATTTTAAAAATGGAATGTACATAAGCAAAATTGACATTCTGAGATTTGATTATTATTATCAGCTCTTGTCTCTACTGTTAAGAAACAGTGTATTTTCTTCTATTTGTTGGATTATTTATTTAGTTTAGCATTAAGCTTATGATTATAAAATAAATTTAAAGTATGTCACTGTAAAAATTAAAAGAATAATAAAGGAAAGAGGAGGGAGGGTGGGAACATGGGCAGCAGGGAAGGTAGGGTGGAAATGACTGTGCTCATGAACCTGTATAAATAAAATACATGAAATCTGTTCACCTTATATAAATTAAAAAATGGGAAAAAGTGTCAGGGTACCAAAAAAATTGCCATCATGCTTTTTAAGGAGATCTATGTAGAGGCTAAGAGATTGATAACTTGTGGATAATAGTTTCTAGATCACAACACAGTTGGGATGGGTTACTTTTGGAAAGACAGAGGATGAAGATGGAATTTTTTTATTTTAATTTATATTCTCAAGTATTTCAAAATTCTCAAAATTAAGAATACATTGATCAGGATAGGTGTTGTGGTGCACTGGGTTACCTGCTGCCTATGATATTGGCAACCCATACTGGAGCCAGTTCATGTCCCATTTGCTCAACTTCCTATCCACCTCCCTGCCAATTGCCTGGGAAAGGCAGCAGAAGATGGCCCAAGTTTTTGGGCTCCTGCCACCCTCATGGGAGACCCAGATGAAGCTCATGGCTTCAGTCTGGCCCAGCCCTGGCCATTGCAGCCAGTCTGGGGAGTGAACCAATGGATGGAAGATCGATCTTTCCCTCTGTGAGTGTGTGTGTCTCTCCCTCTCTAACTGAATTTCAAATAAAAATAAATCTTTAAAAACATACACATATTATTTATTGACCATTTATTAAAAAGATAAATATCAGTATATCTACTCCACAGTGTAGCAACTCCACACCAAGGTTTTTACCCAAGATATGAAAGTATTGGTCCACAAAAAATATTGCTTCAGAACATTTATGATAACTGTATTTTTAACAGTGGAAACTCAGCACAATCTAAAGGTATAGCATGAGAAAAATATATTTTAAAAAATCCTGCAGTCTGGCAACAGTAAAATGCTGAGCAGTGAAAAAGAATTGGCTATAAATACATGATGTAACTTGGTGACCCTCACATACACATTGAGCATAAGAAGTCAGAGAAAACTTACTGGACTGGACTGGGTAATTTTGTTATTATGAGGCTCAAAAACAGGCAAAACATTGGTGATAAAAACAACATAGTGGTTGCCTATGTTACGTGATGACTTTTCTGAGGTGGTAGAAATATATTCTATCTAGAAGAGTGTGATGGTTTCACATATGTATATACTTATCAAATACATAAAATTACCAATTAAAGACTTGAATGCAGTTCTATCTACAAATCTTAAAATAAAAATATATTGTTACTCTAGATGCATTAAAAATTTTGATTGTGCATATATACATAAAATGAGATTTAAATGCTTGCAAAATTTTTTATTTTCCAACCATTGCAAATAGGATATTAGTACTTCAAATCACACTAAATAAAACTAAGGCAAAAATAAATTCATAGCAAATATATGCAAAACATAAACTGTAAGAAAATGTTGAAAAGTATAAAAATAATAAAATATAGTGGTAATCAAATAGCTCTTATGAGAATAATTTAAATGTTTCCAAATTAAGTAATCAAATAAAATGATACATAAAACCTTATAAATAAAATATATAGGATTTTTTTGTTAAAAAATACTGATGTGACCAAAAAATAAAGACATCTAAAACTTAAGCTCAACACTATTTGAAGTTACTATTTTATAATAAAAGTTAATAAATATTAATGCATATATAATAAAATATCATATAATATTAGAAAAAACAATATACTTCTAAACTCTAAAAGGAATTTAAAGAAATACCATAAGGAGAGAATTTAAGTCATAATAATGTATCTGTAACATATGCAGCTTATATTAATCAATATATAGCAATAAAGAACATAATAAGGCAGAATTGATATACATATGAATCTTACAGTTTACACAATTTTAAAATAATTAGAAATTTTTCACCTAAAATTGATTCACCTGGAAAATTCATTTCCAATTAACAAATATGTTAAAGAATTCTGTATTACAAAAAGTTACTAGAAAATAAAGACATCTGACATTTTATAAAAATATCTTTCTGATGTGTTCATATAATAGAAATAACATTGTGAATTCAATTTTTACTCATAAATAATAATGTACTTGATTTACTGGTAAAATGTGAAAACTCTGTGTGTGTGTGTGCATGTGTGTAAATGAAAGGCTAAGACAGTCAGAAAATACTCAGAAAATTTCAGGCAAGAGAGACCTAAAGTTTTAACCAGACCTTCATAGTGCCATTTACACAAAAGTCATTTGCAATTCCTGGAAGAACTGGATTGGATTTGATGTCTTGTTAAATATCAGAAAGCAATAAGCCATAGCTTAGCCTCAGGAATTCCTACTGTGAAATAAATGGACAGCATTTTCCATGAACTTGGAGAGGAAAAAGGTTTACTTTCAACATAATTTCATAATCTTATGTTCCATTTAAATGATTCTCAAGCTAGGCGGTATAAGATTCAATAGGCTTCAAAGGATCTATGGCATAAAAAAGGTAGACCTGTAATCCCTAACTAAACTATAAAATTCCCATTGAATTTAAATGGTCAAGGGATACAATTAAATAAACGTAAACCAGAAAGAAACCCACCCACTCTTGGCACGTTTTATCAAAACTCAAGGAAATGTAGAGAAATTTTCTATGTTGAATATACGATTGAAAAAGAAAAGGCAAAATGAGCACAAAAACCTCATCCTCATGAAGTTTGCCTGTTCCTCACTGGGATGTGTGGATACACATACGTACATATTTTTTAAAAATGATTAGGAAGAAAACAGCTGTCTCAATTCTACTCAGGCATGAGACATGTCCATTGTCCTGTTTCCTTATATCCTCTTAAACAAAATTTGGTGCTATCCAATATCTAGAATTTGTAGGTTCAATTTTCATCTATATGCATACCAAGGAAATCTGAAGCCCTCAATTTTTTTTTCTTAAGATTGTACCATATTGATAGAGTTCTATGTTTATTGCAAAAGCAAGGAAAGGCATTCTCTGAGAAATCACCTGTACCTTAAGCTTCATAGTTGTATTAGCTTTTTGTAACTGGTTATAAAAGCCTAAGCCTGGCTCCACTCAGGCTCCCTTTGGCCCCCTGTGTTGACAGTCATTGCTTGCCACTGCACATGTTCCCACCATTGCCAACTACCATAGATCCCTTGCAAGATTATCTGCCAGGGCTGGTGCTGGCACAGCAGATAAAAGCCCTGGCCTAAAGTGCCAGCATCTCATATGGGCACCAGTTCGAGTACTGGCTGCTCCACTTCCCACTTCCGATCCAGCTCTCTGCTATGGCCTGGGAAAGCAGTGGAAGATGGTCCAAGTCCTTGGGCCCCTGCACCCACGTGGGAGACCCGGAGGAAGCCGCTGGCTCTGAATCCGCCCAGCTCCGGTAGTTGTGGCCATTTGGGGAGTGACCAGAGGATGGAAGACCTTCCTCTTCCTCTCTCTCTCCCTCTCTCTATCTCTCTCGCTAATTTTGCCTTTCAAATAAAATAAACCTTTTTTTTTAAAAGAGCATCTGCCAGGCTGTTGCACTTTCAGCATCCCAAGCTATAAGCTAAATAATTCTCTTTCTTTTATAACATTAACCTGCTTCAGGTATTTCATTAGTGATGAAATTCTAACAGATACAATATTTAAAAAGAGAAAAATATTTCAATTAGAATATTAGAAATATAAGATATGATCAGTCTACAAAAGTAGAAGTGAAAAATACTCAGAAGTACATGAAAAGACTAACTTCATTAGTAGTGAATCAAATTCAAATTACATCCGCAATTATGTTATTACATAACGCGAACACAGTCAACAATTTAAAAGCCTAATGATACCAAGTGGTAAAAAAAAAATAGAGCAACTGGACCATTCCTAAACTGCTTGACATTGCAATTTGCCACTATTAGCTGTACTTTGGTATTATCTGATAATCAATGGCACATACATCATATCCCTCTAAGTTCTACTAACCAGCATGCATTAGAAAAATACATGGATATGAAGATACTTCTAAGAGCATTGTTTCAAAAAGCTATAATTTTGAAACAACTAAATGTCCTTCAACAAAAGAAAGGATGAAAATGGAACAGCAATATAACAGATGGTATTATTGTACAGAGGTATATAAATGGTAGAAATATACAAATAACAAAAGAAAGTGACAGCCTGGATAGTGATTGCAATGAAGAACAAAGCTAGCAACACAAATACTAATGTCACATAATTTTAATTAATAAATATGTCAAACCAAAGTACATACTTTAAGAATGCATACATGTGTGACACTGAAGTTGAAAAAGAGAAGCAAAGAAGTTAATATTACAGCACTTTAGCTATTATATGGCACTGTTTTGTTCAGGAGAGTACAGAGAAACCTGAAATAATGGACACTTCTGTCTATGGCCTAGATACAGATGTTCTCCTCTTAATCATCTATTAAAAATATACATGTAGGTATATCTAGACTTCCATATGAATGCTTTGATAGTAAATAAAAAAATGGAAATTATAACATTCTATCAATAGATGAGTTTTTAATGAAAAGGTAGATTATAAAGACAAAAAGGTTTGAATTTTTCTTATATTTATAATTTTGAATGTTATAGAAAAAAATAGAAAAATTATACCACCGTGGGTACCTGGATCTGTCTTCTCCTGTGCCTTTTCTCTGAGAGCCTTTATTTTGAGACATGTAAGACCTAAAAAAATTAAGATAAAAATAAATATTTTACTTTCAGAGGCAACTCCCCTGCCAAAGGTTGCAGTGATAAGTTTTTTTTCCCATTTTGTTTATTCATATAAGGTGATAAAATTTCATGTATTTTGTACGTACAGATTTAGGAGCATAGTGATAGTACCCACCCTACCATTCCTCCTGTGCATGCTCCACCCCTCCTTCCTACTTTGTTACTTTTTAAATTTTTTGCAATGATATGTTTTCAGTTTATTTTATAATCATAAGATTAACCCTCCACTAAGTAAATACCAACAAATAGTAGGAAGAAAAAAAAACACTGTTCCTCAACAGTAGACATAAGGGGGGGGGGGCTGCAAACAATAACCAAATCTCAAAATGTCAAGTTTGCTCAAGTACATTATACTTTCTATACTATATTAAGTACCCCAGATCAGGGAAAACACATGATATTTGTCTGTTTGAGATTGGCTTATTTCACTAAGTATAGTAGTTTCCAGTGGCATCCCTTTTGTTGGGAAAGACAGGATTTTATTTTTCTTTACAGCTGAGTAGTATTCCATAGTGCATATATACCACATTTTTCTTTATTCAGTCAACACTTGTTGGACACCCAGATTGATCCCATTTCTCAGCTATTGTGAACTGAGCTGCAATAAACATGGGCATACAGATAACTCTTTCATATGATGATGTCATTTCATTTGGGTTGATTCCCAGGAGTGGGATGGCTGGGGCATATGGTAGATAGATCTATTGTCAGATTTCTGAGGAATCCCCATACTGTCTTCTACAATGCCTATACTAATTTACATTCCCACCAACAGTATATTAGAATAGCATTTTCCTCATACCCTTGCCAGCATGTATTTTTTTTATTATGTATGATAGACATTATAACTTGGGTGAGGTGAAACCTCATTGTGGTTTGTATTTGCATTCCCCTGATGGCTAGTGATCCTGGCCATTTGAATTTCCTCTTCTGAAAAATGCCTATTCAATGCCCATTTCTTTTATTTTAAGATTTATTATTTTATTTATTTGAAAATCAGAATTAGAGAGAGAGAGGAGAGAGAGAGAGAGGGAGAGAGCAAGCTCCCATTCCCAAATGGCTAAAATGGCCAGGGCTGGATGAAGCCAAAGCCAGGAGCCAGGAACCAGGAGCTTCTTTCAGGTCTCTCACATGGGTGCAGGGGCCCAAGGACTCGGTCCATCTCCAGCAGCTTTCCAAGGCACAGCAGCAGGAGCTGGATTAGAAGTGGAGCAGCTGTGACTCAAACTGGAATGCATACAGATGCTGGCACTGCAGATGGTGGATTAATCCATGTGCCACAGTGCCAGCCCCCTTTGCCCATTTCTTAAATGTAATGCTTATTTTATTGTTGTTGAGTCTCTTTAGTGCTTTATAAATTCTGGATATTAATGCTTTATCTGTTGCATAGTTTCCAAATATTTTCTCTCATTCTGTCTCTTGCCACTTAACTTTGTTGAGTGTTGTCTTTGCAGTGCAGAGGCATCTTAGCTTGATGTAATCCCCTTTACATATCTTTGCTTTTATTGCCAGTGCTTCTGGGGTCTGTTATAAGACATCTTTGCCTAGACCAATGTATTTCAGAGTTTTCCCAACATTTTCCTCTGATAATTTGAAGGTATTAGGTTGTAGATTCAAATCCCTGATCCATTATGAATTGATTTTTGGCTCCTGGCTTCAGATCTGCCCAGCTCTAGCTGTTGTAGCCATCTGGGTAGTGAACCAGCAGATGGAGGACCATTCTCTCTCTCCGACATCTCTGTAACTCTGCCTTTCAAATAAACAAGTAAATATGTTTAAAAAAGTAAACTCTGTAAGAAAACATTGAATAATATTTAGCATATTTCATACTAACTGATAGAATCAAAAAGGGAGAGAATGATCAAACATGGGAAGCAGGATACACAGAAGACTCATTGAATGGCAGATGTCCTAAATAGCACTCTGGCCTCAGAATCAGCCCTTAAGGCATTCAGATATGGCTGAAGAGCCCATGAGAGTATTTTAGGCATGGAAAGCCAAGACACTCTGGCAAAAAAGAAAGAAGACCCTAATGAAAGATCTCTGCAAGTGAGATCCCAGTGGAAAGAACGGGGCCATCAAAGAAGGAGGTACCTTTCTCTGAAGGGAGGAGGGAACTTTCACTTTGACTAAGACCCTGTCTGAATAAGATCAAAGTCAGCGAACTCAAAAGGCTTCCATAGCCTAGGCAACTCATGACTAGAGCCTAGGGAGATTACTGACGCCATAAACAAGAGTGTCAAATTGTTAAGTCAACAACAGGAGTCACTGTGTACTTACTCCTCATGTGGGATCTGTCCTTAATGTGTTGTTCAATGTGAATTAATGCTATAACTAGTACTGAAACAGTATTTTACACTCTGTGTTTCTGTGTGGGTGCAAACTGAGGAAATCTTTACTTAATATATACTAAATCAATCTTCTGTATATAAAGGTAATTGACAATGAATCTTGATGGGAACGGAATGGGAGAGGGAGCAGGAGATGGGAGGGGTGCAAGTGGGAGGGAAGTTATGGGGGGGAAGCCATTGTAATCCATAAACTGTACTTTGGAAATTTATATTTACTAAATAAAAGTAAAAAAAATAATATTTAGCATATTGACATTTAGGATTCTTAATTTTTTTTTCAGAATGGTACAAAATGTTACAGGAACATAAAATATTTAAATAAACAAGAACAGAAATTATGTGCCACTTTAGAAAGAGAAACTATTGTAAAAATCTTATTTTACAACCTAATAACCAATATAAAAATACTGGCACTATTTTATTTGAAATTCAATAATTATTTCTAAACTTTAAAAGTGGGCAAAGATGTTAAAGAAAATTTGAAAATTATGGCAAATGTGTGCACATTTTTATAAGGGAGATGTAGTCTAGCTTTGTAAATACATGAATTTAACTTTACCTAATAATGTAAGGAAAATTTAAAAGTGTGTGAAAAGAGGGAACCAGTGCCATGGCTCACTTGGTGAATCCTCCACCTGCAGCGCCAGCATCCCACATGGGCACTGGGTTCTAATCTCAGCTGCCCCTCTTCCAGTCCAGCTCTCTGCTGTGGCCCGGGAAGGCAGTGAAGGGTGGCCCAAGTCTTTGGGCCCCTCCACCCAAATGGGAGACCAAAAGGAAGCACCTGGCTCCTGGCTTCGGATTGGCGTAGCTCCGGCTGTAGCGGCCATTTGGGGGGTGAACCAACAGAAGGAATACCTTTCTCTCTGTCTCTCTATCTAACTCTGTCAAATAAAAAAAAAGTGTGTGAATAGATAGATAGATAGATATAGATCAATATAGAAAGAAGAAATTGCTTCTCTATGAAAAAATCAGACACATAATAAATTAAATCACAAGCATGCCAGAAAAAAAATTGTATAACAACTTTAGACATCTAAAATAAATATTTAAGAAATCAATTTAGATTCAAACTGCAAAGTCAAAGCCTATACAACTGCGATATATTCTAATATAGATCAATAATTGAAATGTAGGAATGGAGTATCCTGAATTTCAGGGGTCAGCACTTGGCACAGTGGTTAAGTCACAGCTTGGGACGTCCCTATCCTATAACAGAGTGCCTCATTCAAATCCCAGCTCGGCTTCTTATCCAGCTTCTTGTCAATGTGCATCCTGGTAGGTAGCAGATGATGGCTAAAGTATTTGTGTTCCTCCCATCCATATAGGACACTTAGATTGAGTTCTGGGCTCCTGGCTTTAGCCCATTTGGGGAATTATCCAGCAGAGGGGAGATTTCTCCTGCTGTTTCTTTACCTTCCAAAAAAATGAAAATAACATAACATATAAAAAACTATATCCTGAAGAGTTCATCATTCATAATACTTTTCCTAAATCACCATATCAGTTCTGCTCTGACAATGCAAATTTCATGAAGTCAGGAAACTTAGACAATAGCCACTGTATTGCTGGCACCTAATAAAGGATCACAGATATAGTAGGTATTAATGCATGTTTATTGAAGGAATGACAGAATAAATGAAGAAATTAGAGAATATTTTTTTAACATTTACTTGTTTATTTACTTGAGAAAGAGAGAGAGAGAAAAATGGCACTCACCCATTTGCTGGTTCATTCCCCAAACTCTCACAATAGCGAGGGCTGGGTCAGACTGAAGCCAAGAGCTCATAACTCAATCCATCCCTCCCATGTAGGTGACAGGAAACAAACATTGGAGTCATGACCTGCAGCCTCCCCAGGTGTGCATTAGTAGGAAGCTGCAACCAGGAACAGAGCCAGCACACCAACCCAGGCACTCTGAGATGTGATACGGGTATCTACCCAGCGTCTTAACCACTAGACCAAATGCCTGCCCCAAGAGAATACTTCTGCATGAAATAATGAGCAGACTAAGGATACTAAACTTCTCAATACACAGAACTGCATATATAGGAAACTCTTACAAACATTGATTGAAGTAAGTTGATGCTCTAAAGTGTTTCTGTTTTAGTGATTATTGCTATTATTATGCAGTATTCAGTACACCAAAAAAATCTCAGTAGCATGTACTCATCAACCACTCTGTCAGTAACAAATATATGTAGATAAATTCCTAATGGGTTACAGAATTACAAAATTTTCAGAATACATTATAAAAGTTAACATGAAATATAACATTTAAACATACATTGCTTAAATTTAATGATTAAACAATACATGAAAACTGATAGTTTTACCATATTTGAGTCAAGACAGAAATCCATAAGGCATATGTGCACAGTTACTTTCTCTATATATGACACCAAAATAATATATGTATATTTCAGGTATTATTTAACTTAAAAGTTAAAGACTGCCAATATTTATCCAAAGGTTCAAATGAGAGAAAATAAAAAAAAATTAAGCACATGGAAATTATTTACACTATTTGACAGTAAAATGTAAACTACAGCAACTTTAGAACGAAGTGACTTCATATTTGATAAATTTGCTATTTAACAA